CATTATGTCCTCAAACATGAATTTGTTCATTAAGTGAAAATAAATATCATCTTGTTGATTGCCTGACAGTTTAGCTATGAGCTTGTCTATAATGCATAAGATAACTTATATTAATTACTAATCTAAATAAGTTTATAAATTGTGGATTTGTCGTGAAATTTTTTTCATGTTAAGATTACTATGTTGTCTATAGAATTAATCTTAAATATATAATTATATATTAAATTCACTTGTGACATTATAAATGTATTTACCTTAGTATTCAATCATTCGTTTAGTCACTAAATTTCAAGATTAAAATAGAGGGCCAATTCGTAATCAAATTGACTTAGGTTTCCTCATGTTATTTTATTTACAGTTTAATTGCATGTATAAACTAGAAAACTAGGTTTTGCATGTTATTACTGAAATTTATTGTCAGAATTCAATTTAATCTTTAGGAATGTTTGCTTGTTTAATTGAAGGCTTAAATGATGTCCAAATGACCTAAAATTTTACATGTTGTATTAAAGTAATTCAATCATTCGTTTAGTCACTAAATTTCAAGATTAAAATAGAGGGCCAATTCGTAATCAAATTGACTTAGGTTTCCTCATGTTATTTTATTTACAGTTTAATTGCATGTATAAACTAGAAAACTAGGTTTTGCATGTTATTACTGAAATTTATTGTCAGAATTCAATTTAATCTTTAGGAATGTTTGCTTGTTTAATTGAAGGCTTAAATGATGTCCAAATGACCTAAAATTTTACATGTTGTATTAAAGTAACCTTAATTACATATCGGTAAATTTAAATTATGTTTTGAGCATGTTTAATGTTGTCGTATGAAAAGACGAAAAAACTCCTATGTTATAATCGACTTCTATGAAACTTAAATGAATATTCTTGCAATCGATATGCTATGTTTGGTGTGAACTTTTGTTGTTTGTTGTATGGCGTATGATTATTGGTTGCAAGCATGTTCAAATAGAAAAAGAATAGTGATTTGTTATGGATCACTTAGACGACTAATGTGACACTTTATATTCGAGCCGGATCTCTCCGATCAGGTATTGGGTCTTATCTATTTTTTTTTCTATGAAGGTGTTTTTAATTATTACTTTTTGATTAAGTAGTAATAATATATTTTCAAAGTAAACGCCAGGATTAAAACTTATATGTAAGATAATTATAAACATTAGTTATAACTCGACCAATTAATGAATTTTAAAGTATTTTTAATTATTTAATCAATAATGTATAGCAATAAGATTCTGCGAAAGTGGTTAGTATCAAGGATATTGTTATCTGGAATAAGTCGTTATCAAAACACCGAGCATGATTTAAGTTAATTAAATTAATCAAAATCCTTATTTGCTCAAATTTTAGGTAAGAGTTTAATGGAAGATAAATTAAACAAGAAACGCGAAAGCGAAGCCAGCTCGAAATTAAATATGAACGGACCCAACAAAATTTGTTTTAAGAAAAATAAATCTCCATTGTTCAAGAAACGTTGCTTTCATCAATTAAATAAACTGATGTGCTTTTTATATTTTAAAAAACAAAGATGGTTAAGTAAATTAATATATAAAAAATTAAGTAGAGATTTTAAAACATAAAAATCAATAAAATATGCAACACCTGGCAAGATTTAATAAATTAAAAATATTTTTTTATAAAGTACTAAATCAATTCAACCATGAAACCTTCTAAAAAGTATTAAATTCGTTTTTTATGGAAAAGTACTAAATTCTTAAATATCATTATTTAATTATGGTTTTATAAACTCATTTGTGACATTTAACGAGGTGCAACTTTTAATTAAAGCAAGATAATGATGATTTCACCTCAATATAATTTTGTATAGTATTCTTGGGATCTAATGCAAGTCCAACAAAGCTATTTGCTTGTCATGCGAGATTTCCAAATTAGTGTTATTTTAGGCCGACAAGTTGATAAACAATTGGATTAATTAAAAATGAAATTAAAAAAGTATCATTATTTAAAAAATAAACTTACACGTTGTAAAACTAAATATTATAAATTTTTTATTAGATTTATATATAAAAATATTCAAATTGTTGAAGTGAAAAAAAATTAAATAGATCGTTGAGGGTTCACCCTTTCTAATTTAGACAGAGAGTCACAGTTGTTGATTGCATACGATCGTTGACCAGAGTCGAGATCCTCTATTTTTATGAGGAAGAAAATGAGAATAATAGGCGAAGAATGAAGCATTAGCATTTGTTTTTGTCCTTAGAAAAATTGCAGCTGCTTTTTGTATTAATATGTATCCATTAATAGAACACATTATAAGAGAGAGAAAATATAGAAAAGAAATTAATTTGAGCCTTAAAAAATAAATATACGTGGGTGTGAGAGAGAGATGTTGCAACTTATGAAAGGAAGTAGCCAAAAACAGTTTAAAAGGATAATGAATTGAATTAGCTGATCAAACTTTTATGATTAAAGCAGTTGGTGGGTTATGTCGTGACCAAAATTGAACTCTTCAAATCGTTTCCAACTTATCATAAAATATTTCATTGAGTTTTGTCATTGAAAACCAAATATATGTTAAAGAAATTATATAATTTGATGTCACCTACGTTTTCGAATAAGAAGTTTATTATTAGTTGGGAGGTCAGATTAAGGGTCAATTAAGCACCAAGTGTGATGTGTCTGCAAATGAAATTGAGCAATTAATTAGTTCCAATGTATTTGACATTGAATAATATAAAGGGCAATTGGAGTAGCTTAAACATATCTCATTTTACTAACCTCTTCCATGTGTTTATATGAATAAACTAATTAATTCTTCACGTACAAAACCTGCCAATTTTACTAAACCTGCTCAAATTTATTCCCTTTCGTACATGTTGAAGTTTTGTAGTGGTGGGCCGGTGGCAACTTAATTGCTACGTACACCCCATTAAACAAAGGGGAAATCAGTTGGGAAGTTTATAATTGATGACCAACAAGTTGAACCTAGATTTTAAATGGTATCATGTTAGAAAAATGATCATCCAGCTCAGTTGGTAGAGCACAAGGCTTTTAATATTGGGGTCGTGGGATTGAGTCTCACGGAAGGCATTTCATAATTCGGAGGTCTCCTACGAAAGCTGCTCTTAACCTAGCGTTGAGGGCAACCTACTATCCTACCTCCCCCTTACCCCATATTACATATGGGAATAAGGGTCAGCTAATTTATATTAGAAAAATGATGTTAACATTTAATTAATGGTAAAGTACACAAATAATTCTTAGATTATAAGATGATATTTTATAAAATTCCTCAATTATTAATTTGGTTCTTAATGTCCTTAGATTTTAGTTAATAAAAGGTTAACTCTCTAAAATAAGCATATATTTTACTTTAAAATGAAACGTTGAAAATAAAAATACTAAAATAAAAAAAAATAAATATCAAAATCGAACAAAAGTTAAAAATCTCTTTATCCTTAAATAAAAAAATAAAAAATAAAATAATTATTTTAATAAAAATATTATAATCTAATTCTGACAACATACCATTTCAAACCTATGACAACTCCCTTCAACCATGTTTTCCATTCATTTAAGATTATATTGAATTTTATTTAACGAGGAAGTGGATTGAACAACATAACACGTCGGGATCCCAATTCATGTGGATCCTTCCATGATTCTGAGTCAGAACTCTTAAGAAAACAAAACAAAAGTGCTCCAGATTCTGCAATATCTTCTTCTTTATCTGATTTTTGTCGGCTTTGCACCCTCCTACATTTTCCATCTCTCTGCCAAAAACCAACAGGAAGAAAGAGAGAAAGGGCAAAGCATGATGTTTGAATTGGGTCATGCTCACGCCAGCTCTGGCTCTCCAGTCATCACTATAGTCTTGCACGTCCTCGGCCCTCGCCTTGTTTAGGGGGCTTTTGGGTTCACCCCCCTTGGACGCTTCCATTCTATGTAATAATGGACCACCTTTTTTATTGTCAATGTTTCATTTACTTACATCTATGTTGGAAACATAAACAAACCAATTGATTTATTCATATAATTATAATGGATTTATGGTGCAACATGTACATCAACTTCTATTTTGGTTTTAATATGGTAAAGTTTGTGTTTTATTTTATATACTTTAAAGTTGTACAAGATGATGTTTAAATCATATGACATTTTTAGGAAGATCTCGAAGAACCAAATCATCTTTCTTAGATAATATGTAGTGTGAAAATTGACCTTATGAATATATTAAGTCAGAAGACGGTATATTTCTTCAACTTCTTAAAGATGATAAATAATTTAAACCCTTTTCCTCATATCATGTTTATAGTATCTTAATTGAGAAAATAATTTTAGTTTCATATGAATCAGTCTTTTTCTACCACATTATTTAAGGGAAATTGCCACATAATAAATATTTTTTAATTTTGGGTTGTGTAAAGTTACACATTGACGGTGGGGCTAGTACTTGAAAATAAATTATCAGTGTCTCTTTCAAAACTGACATATCCGCCCGTCCATCCCACTTGCCTCCTCTCATTTTAATGCACACAAAACAAGTTTCTATTTTTCTCGCCCTCCAATTGTATCTGTAATCCCTATTTATTTTCTGATCAGTTTTGATTTAAAAATATAATAAATTAAAGGTATAGTGATGAAACTACATTAATTGACAAATCAATAACACGTTTCCAACACTCAATATAATAGATTGACAAATTTGTACCTTATCTTTCTTGCTCCAACTTTTGGTAAATATTTTAAATTTTTTTATATTTGAATTTAAAAATAATATTCGAATTTAAAACCTCTAAAATAATGATGGGTAAAAGAATGTATTGGAATTTAAACAATATCTTGAACAGTTAAGATATGACATTAAACTTTGAATTCTAAAATCATGAATGAAAAAATTAAATTATAAATATTATCTTATAATAAATATAATTTCAAATATAAATTATTAAATGAAAAAAAAATATTGATTAAATTTTCTTTGCTTCACTATTAACTATAAGGAAAGGGGGAAAAAAGAAGAGGAAAGAAAGTTTATCACGACATGTTAACATGCAGACTGGCATTGGCAACAGAGAGACAAACAGGGCAAGTGCCTGCGATAGTGGACCCACACATTGTACATAGACATAGATGTCTGCATGGCAGCAACAGTACACTTGACTCTTTCTCCCCACACTTTCTGCACTTATGGTCCCCATTCCCAACAACCACCGCCTTATCCTCCGCCGCCATCACCACAACCTTTCGCCATCCGTTGTCGCAGCTGCCACAGCTAGACTCCGCGTCATCTTCCAACGCCGCACCTCCCATGTGTGCCAGGACTTGTTCTAAATTGCTGCGTAGGGAATTGGCCGTCGCTTCGTTCGTTTGTGCCAAGTCTCTCCACAGCTGGTTCTCTACGTACAGGCTTTTAACCCTTTCTTGAAGAACCCAGTTTAGTTTCCCGATTCTTTGTATCTCTTCGTCTTTCTCCCTCAGTTTCTTCATCACCCCTTCTTGGATTGCTGTAATCAACATTCTTGACTGGCTCTTTCTTCTCTCTTCAAGCTCCATCCTCACTTTTTCCGTCTGTAATTCATCCAAAAAAAAGTTCAATAAATTCCATGTTAACTGTAATAAGAAAAAGTTGTTTTTTTTCTTCAAGGAACTTACATGATCAGAAATAAAACAGTCAATATCTTGTTGTTGTTGTTGGATCTGGGAGAAGACATCAGAAAGTTTGTTCTTTTGAGGGATCGAGTATGAATCGAAGCCATTGTTGAAGGAATCTCTAGACCTTTTTCTTGGAGATGAAACTGGGATATTCATGTTGAAAGTAAGACCACTATCGGCTTTGTTGATTGAAGTTTTGGCTGAGATATTTGGATCACAGACGAGGGATTGATATAATGGTTGCATTGAATCAACCAGAGGAACACAAGAATCCATCTGGGTATTGTATAGATTGCCCATCCCTTGATTTGTTTTGATAAAATCTCTGCTACAAAAAAAGGAACTAAATCAAGTTAAAGAAGAAAAAGAAAAAGAAAGAAAACCCATGTTGAAGAAGAAGCACCCACCTGTTGGCGATTAACCGAGGAGGCAAAATATCCATACGCCGAGCTTCAACTGCCATTGGCTTTGCTTTTGCTTTGCTTTGCTTTGATGTATTCTTCTTCGAGTTTGCTATATATATATATATATATATATGGGTTTATTTGGTTCTTAATGGAAAGAGAAAGTTTAGAATAAGAACAAGAGATAAGAGAGAGGGAATCTAATAGTTATTTATCGTACACAAAATTTGTTTGGAACTTTGTAAAACATGGAGTGGCTGATGTATATATACACCACACTTCCACATGCTTTTTATTCCTCTTTTTTTAAGGGAAAAAGATAAAAGAAAGTTTGCATTTTGAGCGTGAAAGTTGATATCAAAGATGTTTTTTTTAGGTTATGGATTTAAAAAAATTATAAAATTTTCCGAGTGAAATACTGAATCAATGTACATATCATATGAATGGATGGTTTTCTTCTTGCATTCGAAACGGGTCAAATCTGTCGGACCCATACCGGGGCTTTAATTTCATTTGAATTTCTTGTTCATTTGTAAATCTTTTCCCGTGAAGGTAGAAAATGCAACTTCACTTAGACAACTGATTTCATGAAAGGCTAAAACATGCATGGATGGCATTTGGATGGGTGCTTTTGATACTTGCACAACGTTCTCTCTTCGCTTTCCATTCAGACTTTGACTAAACCTCATCTTTTCATTCATCTTTGATACTAGACCAGTATGGTAGTTCTCTTTATCATATAATGTTCTCTTTTGGATAGATTTATGTTTTGATTTTTGAAACGATTAATGGAAAATAAATATGATCAAACAAAAAAATTATATGAAAATTCAGAAAAGAAAAATTACAGACAGACGAGAATAATATTTTACTATGTCAAGAAAATACAAGATATATTACATTTGTTACATCTCAAAACTCTCGCACCCTATCGTCAGACCTCACACTTATATCACTGTTTTGATTATAACTTTATGATCTGGTCAAAAAAGAAATTGGGTCATAACTCTATGTAATTATTTAAATTCAAATAATTTGAATATTTCATTTTGTTCACACCTGTGAGTGCACAACCAACCCCAAATAAATTTAATTTGCACCCCTCGCCCGTGTGCAAGAGAGAGCATCATGACTTGCACATTCACTAACTAATAATTGGTTCTAATTTATAAACATCTTCTAAACTTATATATATATATATATATTCCATTTAGTGCGAGGTATAAAATACTGATGTTTTTTTCCAATGTTGTTTATTTTGAACATCAATTTCTTATTCATCATTTTAATAATTTCAACATATTATGTACGGTTTTAAAAGTATGATTGAGTAGATTATAAAATCATAGTTTTATTATTCAAAACTCTAATTTTATCAATAAAAATATATCTTAAAATTTTAAAATATCTATTATTTCCAAACAATTATTTCCTAATTGCGAGTTTGGAGAAATAATAAATGGTTTAGGTAGATAATAGAAAAAAAATCACAAGAGAGAACATACCATGGCAGAATATTTTTGAAAAAGTCATCTAAATACATATTATTTGAATTAACACTAAAGTATTACATACAATATAAAAAATTAATAATACAAAAGAGAAGACAAGTCAAATTATTGATGAATCTAAATAGGCCCATCAACCAAATTTTGGTCTCCCATAACCTTGGTTCCCCCCACCCCAATAAATCGAAATGATGGGCAATTCGCAACCACCATGAGAGGCTATTGACCAAAAAATGAATGGGGATAGAGCAATGATGCGGCTCCCACCCATGTCCAAGACAATTTTTTTCTCTTCTAGTTACAGAGAAAAGTAAAAGCGGTGCTATTAATTTACTGCAAATCCTCGAAGGAAAGGGATACCCCTAACATCAGCGTCTAGGAAGGACATGATTTCAGCAGGCGGTGACTCAAAGGTTATAAACTCCTCCTCTAGACTATATTCTATTTTCGAGTGAATATCGGCGCAAAAATTCCATTCACATAATGTATGCTTGAAGGTTATCACCCAATTTCGAGTTTCTAAAATCCTTATATCTTCAATGATTGCTCCCAGAGGGTGCATTCTAACATCCCCTTTTCAGTAAGATGAAGAGTCACACGAGCATCCACCTCGCATTTGATGTTTCTAAAGCCATAGTCCCATGCGCACGTTAACCACAATCTTTACACCCCTAGTTGATCATTCCCCTCGCAAACACGCACATTGAACAGGAAAAGTGGAAAATGTTTATTCCCGAAAAGAAAAACAACAAAAGAGAAGGGGGGGGGGGAAAGAAAAGGAGTTGGCACCACAAGAAAGAGAGATTGCAATTAAGTGTAGACAGATGGAGATGGATTCCCACACCCCCACTACCACCCTCATCTTTTTTCCTTATCTACTTTTATTATTGCTTTGCTTCCATCATTGCTCATTTTTTTCACTTGAACCACCACCAACAACAAGAAAATACAAGATATATATGATCACCTAAATTCATCATTGTCCAATCAAATGTTCACTAGAACCGTTTCAAATTCGATTATTTAAATCGAAATCCGATACGGACTAGAACAAGATAGCCTAAACTATATTTGATACTCGAAACAAATCAAACTGAATTAAAAGTGACTTGAATCTTAACTAGATCGATATAGGTTTGTTCCTAATTTGACCCGAATCAAAATTAACTCAAATAAGAAATAATTCAAATCGAAAGTAATCCGAGTTTAATTTATCCAAATCTGATATGAACACCGATCCGATTTTAACTCGATATTGAGTCAAAGTGAACGAATAATTTATTTTATTATTATCTATTTTTTTTAAATGTAATAATAATAATTAAATGATGCATATTTTAATATTCGCTTGTATTATACTAATAATTAATTATCACATTTGACAATAGTTTAAGAGTTCAATACTATTATAGTACTAGGTAATTACCACCTTTTGTATTATCTGTTTTTTAATTTGATTTTACTCATATCCAACCTAACCTGATTTGATCCAAAGATTTAAATGCTATCTAGATCTGAAAACTAATCGATTTGATATAGACTCAATCCAAAAATTGGTTGATCCTATATTAACACAATGCAAAAATTGTTCTATACAATATTGACTCGACTTAAAAATTGATTGATTTAATATTGATTTGACCCAATGTCTTACTCTACTTATCAAAAACTTAAACTAAATCTGAATTGAATTCAATCTTATCCTGTTCAAACTTTAATAGAATTTAATTTAAGCTCAAAATGATTCGACCCAAAATAACCCATCTTGAACTCAGTTAGAATTATCCGATTATCACCTCTCATTTGCATTACCTAAAATGAAATGCAGATTTCGTACAAAGTTTGAATGGGATTCCTAGAAATCCAAGATTTTCACTTTTAAAAGTAGGGTTGTAGCAACAAAAATGCTTCACTAGGCAGCCACTAGTTACCAGTTTACTTTCTCTTTTATATCTTCAAAGGTAGGTTCTATATGCCAACCACTGTAAGATTAGATCCCCATGATGATTCAGACAGCTCTTCTATGTAGGAGCCACCAATGGGGAGAGAAAGTAGAAAAAGGTATCCTCTCACCGCCCTTTTTGGGGGTTGCCTACTTTATAATATTTTCTTTTTCTTTCAAAGTGGGTGGCTAAATGAGTATTAAATTAGACAAAATCACAGATAAAGTGCTAATGCTTTTCTAGTAAGGCAGAATAAAGGGCTAAATGGGGTCACTCCAAAAACCTTAATATGCTCATGTACATATTAAAATAAACAAATTGAACTAATGTGTCAAATTCGAGTGAAATTAGGTTTGTCATTGCGACCAACATGATTTAACACCACCTTAGTATGATCATATACATTAATAAACTTTATCCCTATCAAATAGAATGTCGTGAAAATCTAGTAGGTTTTTTAATGATAAAAAAATATTATTTTCTTTAAAGGATCTGAACTCAAATAACTATATATATACAAAATACATATATTTGTTAATTTAAAAAAATTATGAATATATATTATCTTTAATCACCTATAATCACGTTGTTGATTAGTGCTAAACTTACTCTAAGTTCATCAAAACTTTGGGGTTTCACACAAACATGAGAATCCAAGAGATATCATGCACCTTAAAGAAGTGTTGATTCAGTTGGATTTTGACCTCTTCTCTTTTGGTTACCCACCTTTGATGAGTTTTACGTGTCAAAAGGTGTTAAGTTTTGGTTTCCAAGAAACGATGAAAGCCCATTTGTGGGGACAACCCACCTTTGGATGTTGCTGCAATTTGTGACATGAGTTTTGGCAACATGTTATGCTTTACTTTGAATTAACAATGTTAAAAAATATCTTTAAGAACTTGGGGTAAATTATAATGATGATGATCAAACTTTTAGAGCATTTTGACTTTGGTCGTCAAAGTTTTAAAATTTATATTAAAGGCATTGAATTTTAAATAATCTGATACCTATATTTATTAAATATTACACATTTTATACATCTATGTATTAAATCAATGTCAAATGTTTAAAAGTATAACATGGATTCAATATTAAATAAGTGATAACTTATATAAGAAAATTATTTGATATATATATATATATAGTGTAGATTTTAGTTTACACGAGTATGTTTATTTTACTGTCACATGTCTTAGTAATCGTTTAAGATTTTAAATTTTATAATTTAAAAATTAGTGTTTAAAGATTACAGTTTAGAATTTAAGATTTAAGAGTTTAAATTTTAAAATTTGAGATTAAAATAAATGAATAACGTAAAATAATTTTTATACAATTTATGAATCAAATAATAACTCATAATATTTTAAATTTTTAGTAATCCAAATAGACTTGATCGTATTACTATTTACATGATAAAAAGAGTATTTAAATGATAAAAAGAGTTTTTTTTTTATTAATTTAGGGTAGATAAAATGTAATATATGTTTGAAGTTAACTCAACTATTTGACATTGAATGCTCACATCACTATCATTCATGGTACTTGAACCCGAAATCTCAAGAAATAACAACAATTACTTTACCACTGAGGTTGTTTGGTTTGTGCACTGACGAAGCCAACGTATTACAAGGGGTATCAAATGAAACCCCAAAATTTTTCAAAAAATAATTTTTTAATAAATTTAATAAAAATATTAAAATAAATAAATAAATAAATATTAAAAAATTATGGGTACCTTTAAACATAAACTGACACCCATTATTCATTTTCATTTGTTTAAA